CCTGCTGAGTTTAAACTGAGATGTTGAACCTGTGATTTGGGGAAGAAATACACAGCTGTGCTTCAACATCCCCAGAAGGTACTGATCTCTGCTGTAGTGAGATCCCTACTTTTTGGGGGATCACTGCCTCTTTCTTTCCTGGATTCCCCAGGAATTAACTGCCTTTAGACATTTCCTGCCAGGCTGGGAGACAGAGATCCACCATTCACCTAGGAAGTCTTGCAGGTGCCATGTTCCTGGCAGAGCCCTGATTTTTTTGTTTGGTTTCCACTTCTTTCTTTTCCATGGCATGACCGTTCACCTGTCTATAGCAGAAGCAGGGACCGTGTCCAGCCGCGCGCTTGCAGGCACGTAACTCTTCAGCTGGGGCCTGCAGCCAGCTCTGGAGCAGAAGCAAGCAGCTTGGGGGGTTGCTGGGCTGAGGGATAGGGGTGATGCCTTGAGGACTGCACATATGGCACAGACCAGCCCTGCAAGCACCCCGACCCATTTTGTTGCCAGTCCTGGTTGTCCCACCCTGCTCTCCAGAGCCTGCAAGGCCTCTGCAGGCTTCTTGGGACCGTGTCCTGGGGCTCTGGACACCTGTTAGCAGTGGCAAAACCCAAACCCAACTGCAGAGCCTGGATGCTGTGGAGCGCTGGGAGGAGGTTGCTGTGCATACCACATGCCCGGCTCCAAGCATGGCACGTACCTTGTTCCTTGAGGAACAGCAGTGACAAGCTGGATCTGCTGTTCCTCTTTCCCAGACAAGAAACCAAGGTGCAGAGCGACAAGATGACCAGGACAGAGCTGGAAATCACCACCCAGCTTCCCAGCCCTCATGCTTTCTCTGGAGCCATGGCTGGTATGTAGCCAAATGAGAGCTACGCAGGTGTTGCAGGAGCGCAGCAGAGGTGTGTGACTATTCCAGGTCAGCACAAACACCCCTGTGCTGGTGATTTGCCAAACGCTATTTACATTCCCAGAGCCAAGAGAGGTTTGGACCAGGCCCTTTGTGCACAGGGGCACTGAGGAAATACATCCTCTTGCCTCTATTGTGTGGATCTAAACTCTTTTTCCCCTGTGTCAAGGGATGTGGCAGCAGGGAAAGCCAGTCAGACCAGAAAAGCTATTGATAACAGGGGAGGGAGAACATGGTAAAGGAGCAGCCCACGACTTTGCATTGCAAAAAGCAACAGATGATCTCCTAGCAGGTCCTTTGCAGGGAGCCCTGATGTTTCCGTGCTGGAACAGGTCCCTGCAGGCAAACAGCTCCTGGGGGTGCAGCAGTGGCTGGGCCCTCGTGACCTCCTCCAGGCACATGGATGCAAGTCCAGGTGCCTCTGTTTGGGAGACCTGAACCCTCCAGGCCCATCCGGAAAAGGAGATGACGTGGGACACTACTCAGCTGCGCTTTGTGCCTGGAGGGGATGGGGGTAGGAGCTGGCCCCTCTGGGACTGGAGGAGTTTGGTGGTACTGCAGATTCCAGCTTTGGGGCCTGGGGACACAGGAGACATGCTAATGGCTGAGAGGGAGCAATTCCCTCGTAGGGATATCAGGGCTGTGCCTGGGGTGGAAGCACGGCTGCTCTTGCAGGCTCCTGGCTTTACTGCTTTGTTGGAGCTGGAAGAGCAAACAGAAGACCAAACTTCAAAGCAGCCTGAGCGAAGCCATCACCTACTCAATTCCTGGGATGCTCATGGCCTGTTGGATGCTGCCCAAGCCCTTCACATGCTGGACATGGTGCTGAGGGGCGACATCAGGCTGGGGCTCCTCGGTCTGGCTGGGCAGCAGGGACCTGGGTGCTGCAGTGCTTTCCCAGCCCACCCTGACCCTCGGGGTGGCAAATCCTGGAGAGATGCCTGTGAGCTGAGTCCTGGGAACATCCCGAGGCTCCGTCCCACAGACAGGTTCCAGCATGTCGCTCTTGCCAGGGCATCAGGTGGGGAAGGCGCTGCCCCGACCCACCACCCACAGCAGAGACAAGAATGCGGCTCCATCCCATGCTCGGAGATGGTGTCCCTTCTCCTCGGCCCTGTCCCCCTACCAAGCTATTTCCCTAGGGGACGGATCCCTAGGCCGGGTGGCTTTAAGGGTCCCATGTTTTGGCAGCTCTCAGGAACATTCGCCCTGCTGAGAGCATGCAGCTCCCCAGGATCAGCCCACATCCGTCCTGGCTAGACCGGAGCAGGAGAAGGAGAGGAAGGTAGCAGTTTGGGTTGTATCGCC